ATCGTTTGCTGTCTCTGAAATTATTTCAGGTCTCTTCATGCAATGAATGCAGTATAATAAGCCCAAACATGTGCAAAGGGCTTGAACTTTGGTAATCGAAGCAGGTCGGTGAAGTAGCCTTTTAAAACATGACTTCGATGCAAGGATCCAATGGATTTGAAGTGAGCGTTCAGACTGTTGTGACACATTTCATGAATCTGTTAAATGTCTTTCTTGTGAATGGTAATCATACAGTATCCTAAAACTTATATTTCTCAGAGATCTGACCCTTAAACATGACTTTTACCGATGTATCCTTATGGAATCGGCTTTGATTCAGACAAAGTAAATCACATTTTTTGATATTTGCGATGAAACCAGGGCATTCGGTTATTACCTCAAGGTTTGGATAGATACCAGCATATGATTCCAGTCTCTCATACCATGTAATAATACTAAATTGAGATATCAGTATTTTAATTTGTCACTCATTAGTGATGAATCGTAATTTTTTCTCATTAATGCATTAAAAAACAATCTGTAACTGCAGGTCTGATAATTCATTTTAATGACAATTGTTGCAAAATATATGCGGAACTGCATAAAAAATAGGTTTTCACATTTGTTGAGCTTTAATTGTAATTAAATTGTCCCATACAATGAGTGCAAATGAGTGAATTTACTCTGATTTATAACCAATTACAGTTATAATGTGAAGTTAGTTAGTACTGAACTGAAATAAAGAAATGTATACTTTTATTCAGCAAGGATGCATAAAATTGATTAAAAGTGACAGTAAAGACATTTATAATGTTACAAAAGATATCTATTTAAAAAAATTCTTTTGAATTTTCTGTTCATCAAAGAAAAGAAAATCTATCACAGTTTCCACAAAAATATGAAGCATCACAATGGTTTTCAACATCGATAATAAGAATATATGTTTATTCAGCACCAAATCAGCGTATTAGAATGATTTCTGAAGGATCATGTGACACTGAAGACTGGAGTAATGATGCTGAAAATTCAGCTTTGCACCACAGGAATAAATGACAGTTTTAATAGAAAACAGATATTTTAAGTTGCAATAACATTTCACAATATTGCTGCTTTCACTGCATTTTCAATCAAATAAATGCAGCCTTGGTGAGCATAAGAGACTTCTTTCGAAAACATTCAAAAAATCTTACCAAAAAACTTTTGAATGGTAGTATATAATTTTTACACTTTTTTTGTATTTCTAGAGTCATTTAAAGACATTTAAAGCTGTGGGTGATGGTTTTTCAGGACACCTCCCCCTCAGCTTTTGTTTGAATAGTGTTTTCAGAAGCCCTTCTCCCAGTTGCTCCTCATCCTCTCAGAGAGAAGTGTCAGGCCTCAGCGGTTCAGAGTGGCTAATATCGCTCTGCCCATCTGCTTTTAGCATATTGAGATGTATTGAGAGAACGCGAGGCGCCGCTTCCCTCCGTGAGCCGGTGAAAGGCCTGAGTGCGATTAGATCATAAAACTGTAGCCTAATTTAAACGCTGGCTCTCCAGCACTTCACACCGTGTCTATTAGAGATCTGTGCGCTAAGTCTTTTCATGTAGCATGAGTCCTGCAGATGTAGCGCACTATAAAGGAGTCATTTAGCAGTCTTAATGAACAGAGACGGCCGTTTGGGAAGATCAGGCAGTGCTCGACGGTGCTCTGTGCAGGAACAAAGGGCTCTTCACCGAATGTATTGCTTTATTAAAGTGAGTGCCTCGACTGTTACACACGTGAAGTGGTGTACTTAGGATGTCAGCTTCCCTAACTTGAGAATATATGGGAATTTTGACGTGCAAAAGGTCATTTGTGCTTATTATGATGGTTTGATATAGAAACTGTAAGCTACATTTTTTTTTACATTTCCTGTGTTTTTGTTGTTTTTTTTGCCATTTTGAATGGTTGCAAAAGTGTGGCTGCCAAGATGTTCTGAGTGGTTGTTAGCATATTGCTATACAGTTGCTATGTTGTTCTGGGTAGTTGCATTGCTAGGTATTATTATAATGTATTTTTGAAAAATGTCTAACCTTAAGTATGATCGATAGATGGTACAAGTAGTATGTGCTGTATAATGCTGAGATACACTACTATTTTTTTTTTATATTTTTGAAAGTCAAAATGTAATTTATTCTTCTGATGGTATTTTTCACAATTTTTTAAATAGATAGTTCAAAATGTTTGAATTTGAAATCGTTTGTAACAAATGTATTTACTGTAACATTTGATCACTTTAATGCAACCTTTAAAGGTATTAATTTATTTATTTCAAGTGAAAAAAAAAACCCTTTGAAAGGAAGTGTATACAAAAAAAGTATTGAAATAAATATTTATTTGACATTTTTAGGGTGGAGTTGCAGAGAAAAAAATAATTCAAATGTGTTCTGACCTTTTTTTCCACCCCTATACAATTTTAGGTGGAAGCAATTCCACCAATGCCCTTGATTGTAGCAAAATCATAATATGCAAATACCCCCACAAAAAAAAAAAGTACAGCTACAAGCTAAAGTCAAGAAATCATTTAGATTTAAAGAAATAACATTGCATAGAGCAGAGAAAAAAATTAATCATTGGGAAAAAATGTGTCCTTTAAGATTTCACCGGTGTATTACCTGGAGGCATGAAATGTAAATGGAAAATCAACATTGTATCCTGTGATAAGGCGGACAAATTAATAAAGGCATTTTCCGTCCTCCGCTCCTGCTGACGCTGGTGTTAAAAGTCAGTAGGTCGTGCGAGAGGAACTTTTCTCGCAGATGAAGAGGGTTTCACAGGTTTGACATCGGCTGAGAAGCGGCAGCGCTCCACACGTGCAGCAGCGGTCATGAGGATACTCAGTCAAGTGGGCCACAGGAAACACTTTCCTGAGGAGAGATTATGTTATGAATACTAGTGTACAGCATACGGTGCAGCATGTACTGAATGCTGCCTACTATTTCACAAAAATATTATAGGAAACAGTATGAAACAGTACTGAACAGTATATTCAGTATGCAGCAATGCTGCTACATTGTTGCATGTGCAATTCAGGGAATGCCAGCCAGTTGTCATCTAGGAAATAATCATGATTATTTTGCATTTCATGTATTTGTACATGAATATAATAGTTTTGTGAAAAAAAAAAAGACGTCATTTGGTGGTCTGATCAAATAATTAGTCTAATAAAATACAGTATTGCTTTCAGTTCAGTTAGCAGGTCAAATTGAGTGTATTGCATTGTGGAATACAGTTTGCAAGTATAAAATTTAGTGTACAAACTGCATTCTGGAAAACTACTTTTAGTAGCGTGGTACTATTTCATTTTGAGCATATAGGCATTGTTTGATGTAGAAAAATTAGTGCAAATGCAGGTTTGTATAGCGACATTCTGTGGCTTTGTTTCAAAACCTAGTAAGCTGCCTTTCTAGTAAGAATCCTAACTTCTGTAAGTAGAACCTCAGCAGTGACTTGGATTTGTACTGTGTGTGTCAAAGGAATAGTGGTTAAAGTGTTCGTTCACCCAAAAATGAAAATTCTGTCAATAATTACTCACCCTCATGTCGTTTCAAACCCGTAAGACCTTCGTTCATCTTCGGAACACAAATTAAGATATTTTTGATAAAATCTGAGAGCTCTCTGACCCTCTGTAGACAGTAATGCAACTGCAATGTTCCCAGTTCCAGAAACATAGCAAGGACATCGGTAAAATAATCCATGTGACGTCAGTGGTTCAACCGTAATTTTACGAAGCTATGAGAATTTATTTTTTTGCGCAAAGAAAACAGTAATAACATGATTTATTCAACAATTCTTCTCCCAGAGTTACCGTCTGCCGCCATTTTGGAGAGTACTAGGGCTGTCAAAATGGCTGAAAAACTACATTCGAATTTTGTACTTAAATATTATCAAAATTCAAATTATATTTGAATTTAAAATGCATAATTTCAGTTAGGGTGAAGAAAAGCGTTTGGCTTCTCTCCTGAGGCCACAAGAGGGCGCATCATTCAAAGCATAATATAACATGACCATCTGCGAAAAAAAGTGCATAATGTTTAAAATAATGTTTATAAACCAATTATAATTAAGTTGTTTAAACAACTATAAACAAAACAGCATCATGTATGTATGCATAGTTTAATACAAAGGGCGGAAAGCCAATCACACAGTACATTTTCATTTAAAAACATGAGATGCAGTGGGATGGGGAAAAACCCGCCATAAAGTCTCGATATATGTTTTTTCAAAGTTAAACTTGCATTAATTTTACATGGCTTTCTAAACATG